ACTGAGGGTGTTGATAAGACCAATGCGAGGTCGAAACTGCAGTCTAGTGGTGCCTGGATGAGAACAACTTTTGGAAAAGCAAGGCTATGTGAAATTCAATGGAAACGTTAGCTCAACCCATATCATTGTGGGAAAATTCTACTACCAGTCCTTTATCACCTTAGACGAAATATGGTGAATACATCTTATATTTATCTTTAAGTTAAATATATTTCAAAACAATCATATCTACTTGAATAGGAACCTAGCCACTCTGGGCCATTTAAGAAATAAACATATTTTTCTCATTGGATTTCCCACAATAGAAGTTAATTTAGAAAGGTCTGACTTGCCTTGAAAGTCAAATATACCCTATTACACTTTGTAACCTGTGGCGCCACCCTATTTCAAATACCGTTTGGGATTCAGACGAGACCTAATTAAGGTGTAAACAGATGTTCAATCTAGAAAGAAAAATTCTTCTTGTTCTGATGGATCGTCCTTGGAAGGTGCTGACGCAAGGCTCTCCCGACAACACGAGACCCCCTTTTCGACGTGGCAATCCGTGTAGTCAACTCTCTTGGCCAAAAATGACTCAAGATTACAATAGTCTAGCGCCACTTGTTAGTGTGCCGAACCACTTGTGTTCCACTTCTAGGTAGGGCTATTTTCCGCGCCTGGAATCTGCGTCATGGAGAAATCGGTTCGACTGCTGAGAACAGGACCACGCTCACCCAATATTGAAACTAATGCAAGGTTCTCCAACGACAGTGTAGGTGTGTTTACGTCTAAATGACTTCACAGTAAGACTAATTGTGATCCAATCAATTCCAAAGCGTCTCCGTTTCTAGCCTTTTCATTTCATCTAATCATAGCGTCTCTTCTGCGTGGCGATACTACGCAATGCAATGTCTCTGCTACTTTTTTCCCATCTTTTACTTTCGCTCCAGCGCACCCACTAAAATGTGTCTGCAAACACGAACAATGTCGTTTGTTACTAATTAAATCTATACAAACCTAAAACTAAAATTCTCATTCGCTACATCCTACTGTAGTTTTTTTTGTAATCCGGTCACAGTTCTTGCGTAACGCTCCAAGAACTAGTGTCAATAAATTTCTTAATTTTTTCAGTCTCTCACCTGTCTGCTCCCCCATTCATCCACTAATTTCTACCTATCTAGTTTCATTGGCATTTTGCCATTTAATTATTCATTTGCTTAATTATTTACTATTTTTATTTGCCTATTGATCATCTCCCTCATGCTCATTCATTAATGTCAGATGATAACTTAATTAGTGATTCATTTACACTTTCAACGAATCACCCTTTTTATCACACTACTCCTTTGAGCTATTTCGTAAATTATTCCATAACTTATTTATCCACACATTTATTTAATGCCTAGTTAGCTTGTTAGATCAATACAATTCTAGACCAGATTCAGTCTGGCCCCTTATATGTCTACTACCGTGCTCAATCATTCATTTAGTCACCGATTCACTTTTAAGTTTGCATATAAGAGATCATATTCACATATCTACTCAGTTAGTTCTCAATTCGTTTCTTACCTGACTCACTGATTGCCCTCAATAGCTCTTTCTATCGACTGTCCCTATGCTCTCATTAGCTCATTCATATAATCAATCGGCCATTCTTACAACCCTCAGTCATTTTGCCTTATGTTGACCAAAATGCAAATACATGGGTAAACTAACTTTTGCTCTAACATTATTCATTGCTAATTAATTGGCTCAGTTGATCAACTCCAAACATACGCACAAGGCTGCTGAATGTTTCGTTCATCCTCTTTGTTATGACCACTTATTAACCCTTTTAATAAATCATACAGTAATCTTTCCCACTCTATTCACTTAAAATCACTTAATAAATAGCCTCCCTAATTTTCCAGCAAACTCCTATTTATCTGCATACTCTGACACTTAATATCTGATTATCTCACTTTCCTCTTAGGTTCGACCATCACTGGAGAAATCAAATCAGTGTCGAGAATACCAATAAAGATTCACCCAAAATAACTCGTGGCAATGTGGCCGAGTGGATAACGTGCCAAGCTCACATGCTGTACTGGAACGGTTCGACTCCCGCTAGGACTGCTGATATGACCTATGCGAAGTCGAAACTGCAGTACACCCTGGATGAGAACAACTTTTGGGAAAGCAAGGCTATGTGAATTTCAATTAAAACGTCGACTCTACTCATATTATTGTGGAAAAATTCTACTTCCAGTCCTTCATCACTTTAAACGAAATAGGGTGAATACATTTCATATAAATACCAGAAGGTATTTGAAACTGAATTATGAGTGGACGCAAACATTAAAATCACACGCTCATACAAAATGTAGGCGCGGCAAAAGAATGCCGATTAAAGGCCACAATGTATAATTTCGCAAAGTTAGTATGGAATAAAACAACTAATCAGTGCATAATTTTTGTCAAATCTATTTTGCCAAGCATACCTTTGGTACATCCATTGTGATCCATACCTTTTCCCATCTGGTAGTGTTGATAGACGGTGAAGCGAGATCGAAGCTACAGACCAATTTGTAAAAGAAAAATGTTCAAATCCGAACTCATTTTATTTTGGCCGATTTCACTCAAAACGACCAAGGCTGACTCAGGTTTTTAATAAAAATTCACCTACAGTTTGGCAAGATACACCAGCATATTTGTATTCTTCGAGGCCAAACTTAGATCAGCTGTAGCGACATATGTCTGGATTAATTTGAGTCCCAGACAGGAAGGTCCCCTTTTGCTTACATTTGTTGATAAGGTTGTATCGAATGGGTCAAAGTTATGGTACTTATTTCGGCTACAAATCAACTGCACCGCGTCAGCAATCACAGTGTTGCTCCTCCACCGATAAGAGTCTTTTAGCACAATCCTTCACACAAATTAAACATTATGCCCATTTCCCAGTCGGCTAGCACTCTATCCTCCACAGCTATGGACAAGTCTCAGATGATATATTCCTGCCTGGACTTGGTCAAAGGCGCTTGAAACTGCGTGGGAGGACAGGGCTTAGACGAACCGATTGGCTAAAAGCCGGACAGACGTTGGCGCTCGTCCATCTCTCCCAAAAGTGTCGTCTTGCCGGTGCAACTGTGCCATCAGTTTCACATGCCTCCCAGTAGGCACTTTCTTTCCAGTCTACCCGAAGAACTGAGCCACCTTTGACATGTCCTAGCATTCAGTCTCACTATCCTTCTGTTGGTATTCCTCTCTGTTTGCCTATCCTTAAGCTAGACTTGATGCTTACGTACTTTTCCATCCCTCGTCCAGCTGATTTGTCTGGTGCACACTTTTCTGTTCAGTCGTCTGTCCATTCCTCTCTACATCTCCCTAAATCGTGGTGCATCGATTCTGCCAGCAGAAGGTTTCCTAGCGTAAAACTGGTCAACAGTTCGCTCGTGCTTGCCTCTGATTGCATCGATCATCTTCATTCCAGAGTGAGAAAGTCACAAATGCAGCCTTTTTTGTGAAAGTAATGACGGCCACAGCTCGAGCCTTTTTGCATTCCGAGCTCGAGAGACGGTCAGGAATGCCCCTTTACAGCGTTACATTCGAATGCTTAGTGCTCATTTTCGGCTTAGCCCCACTTTGGCCCACCTCCTTTGCGGACTATCCATCGTCCGGTATGCTCTGTCCCCAGGGCTACTGGGCCAGCCGGGTCAACACCAGTGGAGGTCCATATGGCACAGATCGTACCTACGAATTGCTCTATGGACCCACCACCAATGAACCCATCTGTCGATTTTGTCCAGATGTTGGCTGTTTCATTGTGAAGACCGAGAAGCGCATCATCAAGCCTTGGTACAGCTCCCCTCAATCGACTACTCGCAAGACCCCAGGTCAGACTCGTGTCAGGACTCTGATACAGAACACAACGAATAGGGAAGAAGGAAGAAAAACCGGACTGCCGACCGACGAGGCCGGTGGAGAACAGGGGACAGGACTTGCCAGTGGTGAGAAAAAGGATATACATTCCGAGGCAAAGATCAATAATGAAGAGGTGCAGGAAGAAGAAAAGGAGATATCCACTACACCATCATTTAGGGAAACGGAGTGGGAGAGCCAAGAGTGGGAGGAAGAGGAAGAGTTGGA